AGCCATAGAGCTAACAAATACCATCCACTCGAAAGTCTGTGATTAGCACAGAGAAGCTCGTTCCCGCCTGGTTATTTTCAATAGTCTTTTAAATGACATTATTTTCTGACAAAGAAGGAGAAACCCTGTAAAGCAGAAGAGTTACTGAGAATGATCACCTCACATCTTCAATCTATAGCCCTCGTCCTTTCATAAAGCACACTCCATCTTTCTGCCGGAGGGATCAAAATGGAAGACAGTTCCTTCTCAAAAGGTATAACTTTCCTTTAAATATCCAGCTACATGAAATTCATTTTTAAACACTTAACCCCACTTTTTTCCTACTGCAATATTCACAGCATGTTATTTTTGGAGAAAGCATACTCACCATTGCTTTAACATACCCCCACATCTACTATTTTCTCTTCCAGCTAGCGGGCAGAAGGATATGACTTCTCTCCCCCTCCCCCTTTTTGTGAGGGCCTGGGTTTAGTTTTTCTTTTTTGAGAGTCACACCAAATGTAGTTAGCTGTTTTTTCTCCTCATCATTTAAAAAAAAAAAAGCTTGCTAAGGAAGTATCTTCTCACTTGGAATCTGTTTCTGAGAGGAGAGAGGTCACATTTCTCCTCAGTAATCTGAGGAGACTTATGTTTTGATTTCATTCGTGTACACAGGAGTGCTGCTCTATAGTCCATTTATGAGGCCTGGTGAGGAAAAGGGAACTTATCTTTGCTTAAGCAGCAGACCACTTCTTTTGAAGACTCTTTGGCCTCCACGAGGGTTTTGTCAAAAGCTCATTTGATGTTTCAGGTTTCCTATCAGTACTTACATACTTTCTTGCTGAAGACTTTTCTAAAGACTTGTTGCTCACAGAGGGGAGCCTTCCATTTTGGAAGCTGGAGAAGGTGCACTATTATCTCTTGGTTTAAGCCACTCTTATAATTCAGGTGCAGGAGTTATTCTGAGGCTATGTCTAGACTGCAAGCCTCTTTCGAAAGAGGCTTTTTCAAAAGTATCTTTCGAAAAAGCCTCTTTCAAAAAAGAGCGTCTAGACTGCAAGCAGTACTTTCGAAAAAGCAAGCCTCTTTTTCGAAAGAAAGCAGCGAGTGAGTCTGGATGCTCTCTTTCTAAAAAGCCCTGTTGGCATTCAAGAACGCCTTTTTTCAAAAGAGCACTTTCGAAAAAAGGCGTTCTTCCTCGTGAAATGAGGTTTACCGCCGTCGAAAGAAAAGCCGCGTTCTTTCGATTTAATTTCGAAAGAACGCGGCTGCAGTCTAGACGCAAGTGAAGTTTTTTCGAAAAAAGGCTACTTTTTTCGAAAAAACCCCTGAGTCTGGACACAACCCGAGAGACAACTCAAGGCCTACATGTCATACTGAAGAAATACTTCCTTTTTCTTCAGCCCTTTTGTCAGAAATCAACAGATCAGAATTGTTGACTTTAGCAGAGTTTGTCTTTTCCAATTCTGGTAAGTGAAAGTGGACAATGTAGAGAGACATTAAAAATATACAGAAACATCTGCTCTCAGGTGTTTGTCTGGACTAAAACCTGTTGAAATAAGCAAGAAATGTTATGCCACTTCAAATCTTTTGCACGGGTTGAAATAAAAAAGCGCTTGGCTTGCAGGTCACATTCCCAGCTGACTGTGCAAGACATTAATGAGTCTGAATGAAAGGTTGTTTCATTTTTATAGATCCGACTCCTTTAAAATTGTTACCCTGTTGCCATACAAGTTTTGATTACTTTGTGCTCAAAAAGCAAAGTGCAAGCTTGGTTAGCATGTATTAAGCACTTTTATCCAGAACA